TATTTGATTGTAAAATACTATTGTCACAACTATGTAAAAAGAACACAAAAATCTGACTCGGGAAAGAAAAGAACTAGAAGGAACTGTAACAAAATGTCTATAGTAGAAGGAAGTCCCATGTTCTAGTTCTAGGTTCTAAAATCCTGTAGCCTAAGATTTTAACTACATTCAAAAAAATATTTTGCTTTTATTAAAAAATTATATGAGATTCTCCAAAGCAATTTTAATATTATTCATAACGAAACAATCCATAAGTATTAATTAAAGATTGTTAAATAAGGAGAATTACAATTCACGTTCTTAAGATTTCCCTTAAGAAGAGTTAGATAACAGACAGATACACTGTGTTCATTTTGAAGACAGAAAACTAAGATCTGGGTGAGTTGTGTGGTGTGTGAATTATATCTAAAGAAAGCTTTTTTAAAAAGAAAAGAAAACTAAGACCCAAAAAGGTCCTATAATTCCTTATTCTAGTGTTTTAGATAATTTTTATAGGAAAGTAAGGAGATATAATCTTTTGCCCTTACCCTCTCCTCTCTCATGTAAAATTATTTCAGTGATTCCAGAGATTAAAGGCTATTCAATATAACAAAAAATCAATCAATATAATCCATCACATCAACAGTATAAAGAAAAAAAAAAAAATCACATGATCATGTTAATCGATGTAGGAAAAAATGATTTGACAAAATTCAACACCCATTCATACTAAAAACTCTCCAAAATACAGGAATAGAGCATAATTTCTTCACCTTGATAAAGAGCATCTACAAAAAACACAGATAACATATACTTAATAGGGAAAGGCTGAATGACGTTCCCTTAAGATAGGGAACAAGGGAAGAATGTCCACTCTCACCTCTCTTATTCAATGTAGTATTGGAAGTTCTAACCAGTGCAATAAAGAAAGAAAAGGCATACAGATCAGAAATAAAACTGTCCATATTTGAAGATAACATGATTGTGTAGAAAATACAAAAGAATCTATAGAAAAACTTCTAGAACTAATAAATGAGTTTAGTAAGGTCACAAAATACAAGATAAACACACATAAATCCATTCTATTTCTATATACTGGCAATGAAAATGCCGATACCAAAATTTAAAAAATGAAATATCATTTACAACAGCTAAAAAAAGAATAATATTTACATGTAAATTAAACAAAACATATACAGAATTTGCATACTGAAAACTACATAACACTAATGACAGAAATCAAAGAAGATCTAAATAAATGGAGACACATACCATGTTTATGGATTAGAAACCTCAATATAGTAAAGATGTCAATTCTCCCCAAACTTATATATAGGTTTATCACAATTCCTATAAAAATCACAGCAATATTTTTCATAGCTATAGACAAGATTACTCCATAATTTATATGAAAAGGACTCAGATTAGCTAAAAGAATTTTGAAAAAGAAAAAAGTAGAATAAATAAGTCTACCTGATTTGAAGACTTACTACAAACTATAGTAAGCAAGACTGTGTGGTAATGGCAGAGGAACAGTCTCATAGATCGATGTAAGAGAACAGAGAACCCAGAAATAGATTCACTCAAATATGGTCAATTGATTTTTGACAAAAGTACAAAATCAATTCAATGGAAGAAAGACAGTCTTTTAATGAATAGTACTAGAGCAATCACACATCCAAAGGGGGGGG